AATGCCCTGATTAAAGAAATAATTTGGCTTTGAAGCAAAAAAACATGTCAATGTCCTTTTTAACACCTTCCACATGTGCATACGTTTTTCCATTAAAATGGTGTTGCAGCAAATGAAAAAAATGGTAATCTGATGGTGTCATATCTGGGGAGTATGATGGATGGGAGAGAACTTCCCAACCCAACTTCATAATCTTGTGTTGCATCAAACGTGCCACATGTGGACGTGCATTATCATGGAGAAGCACCTCTCTGATTTACGAGTGAAGGGTGTTTCTGTTGAAGGGCCGAGCCATTGTTTTTGGCATTTAATACTCACATAGAGAATCCATTTTTCATCACTGGTGACAATTCTGTCAAAAATGGTTCATGCGTATTACGTGCCAGAATAGAAGAAGCAACATTCACATGTTGGAAACAATGATCATCGGAGAGTTCTTGAGGCACCCAAACACATTCTTTAAGAAGTTTTCCCATATTTCTTAGATGTTTATATATTGTTTCACAAGAAACATTCAATTTCAGGACCATTTCACGAGTGTGTTGCCTTGGGTTAGACTCAACAAGTGTCTTCAGAGCATCAATATCAATTCCAACATGTCGGCCTCTGACATCACAGTTTTTAAGGCTAAAAGTCACCTGAACAAAATTTGTTGAACCATCATTGACACTTACAAATGTTCAAAACATTTCAATAAACTTCTTAGATATTCTTTGTAGCTACAGAGGCATTGTTTCCCTTCTTGTATTCAAACACCATTACATGCTGAATGTATCTTTCGTTGTGTGCCAACATTATAAGGGATTAGAGTAAACTAAACTTTACATATTATATAGGCTACACTAATGTGATGTTTAGGTGGTTTGTTTAACTATTATACGTGATGTACGATTTTTTGTTGTTGTTTTTTTTGGGGGGGGTAACGAAAGTGTTCCAAAATGCAACATTAATTTCTTGACAACCTTATATATCAGAAAGTTCAAAAACATTAAGACTCTTCTTACAAACACTAAATTCTATCCAAAACCCATTTTGAACTAATCAATTTTAAATTTCTATGATCTATTTATTATTTTACAACTGAGCTGAAAAGTTAGATGTTATAAGATTCCTTGAGATTAGTGCTCGAAATACCCTGCTTTGAGAACCCTACATAATTAAATGTTATTAAAATACTCGCATAAATAATGCTTATGGTAACAGAAAAAATAACAACAAAGAAATGTAATAAGTTTCTTAATTTTATTCTGAATATCTCAGACAAGTCTTTGAAAGAAATTCTGGAAATCAAAGGTTACAACCTTTTGTTACTGACCATAACATAAAATCAATTACAGTTTATTTTTTAAACTTATTTCAGAACAAAAAAGCATTATTACAAAATAATTTATAAAGGGAAAGATGAAGATGTTTTGTTTACGTTTGAAAATCATGTATACATTGTAGGTATAAAAAAAGAACCTATTGCCATGATGTGTAACAAGTCGACAACATGCAAATGAAAACATTTGCCCTGGTCAGCAGGGGCAGATTAAGGTTAAGGCTATTGAGGCAGTGGCCCCAGGGCTAAGCTCAAAAAAGACCCATCTTCAATTTTCTTTTAGAAAATGCTTAATAAAAATTATTCAACCGAGTCTATTTATTCTTGAAGAGAGAGAGAGCTTGTGTGCAACATCGGTAGGTTTATCATGCAATGTAGAGTGCAGAGGTTTGATTGGCTTGCCTTTGAATAGTGTGACAAACTGTATCTAGCTCTGACCTAGTACATTTGCATACAAGTTGCAATGCAAATGTGCCAGATGTAAGTGGGGCTAGACCTAGTCATGCTAATCAAATGATAGGCCTTGGCCAATCAAAGTCTCTTTACTCCACATTTTCATGACTATCAACCAGGCTCCTCCCTCACAGTTTGCACTTCACATGCCATTTCTTATCAAATGATCAAGCAGTAGGCCTAGAATATGACTAGACATATGTTACTAGGCTAGATTGAAGATATTTATATCTTTCAATTCTTCATTCTCAAAGGCTTCAGATTTTGTTCAAGAAAATAGTTCAATCATCACTAACAAGGTAAGTAACAGTATTTTAAGCGTTTAGAATATATTGTATCAATTGTTTGTGTTTCTTGAACAGAACTTGTAAATTGTTATCCTGTAAAATATTCATAATTACTTGTATGGGTACACTGGCCCACTTATCAGCTGTAAATAATTCATTGACAACCTGACAAGTATCATTAGTTGGTGATTATAGAATACAATTCAACCAAGTACAAAATTTGAAATCTTTGAGTTAAGTGCTAAAAATTACATGCTATCATTTGTTACAAAACTATTAGGTAGCTCATTCTAACATTTCTCTCTCTCACTTTCACAAACACACACAAGTACCTTATATGTGCACACACGCATATTATTCATTAAGTGTTCATCTCACCTATTATACAGATGCATAAACACAAGAGTGTCTGGAAAAAGCCAAAAAAAGAGGAGTAAACAACTTCGAGAAAGTAATAGCTCAACTAGGAAGCTCATGGATTTATGGGCTGCATTCTCTAGTGCTGAAACCCTCACCAGTCAAGACAGTGGAAACAACAATGTAGACACTAAATCTCTGGATGCTGATAACTGTCAGCCTCGTCTTATCAAATCAAGAACTTGCCCTCAATCAGAAAGTGATGAAAATATAGCTGCCAACCAAAATTGTGAAAACAATCATGTAGAGACTACAACTCTTAATGCTCATGACTCTCAGCCTCATCAAAATGAATCGAGCCCCTACCAACAGGAAGTAATAAATTATTGCGATGGCAGTGAAGATACTAACTCATCCTTTACATTCAACATTGTGACATGGACACAAGTTTCTGACAAAATGAGAGGTTTTGTTTGTGTGTCAAAAAATTACATCTTGCCAGTACATGGATGCAGATTTCAGTGCATCTACAAAAATTGATTCTGGGTGACAAACATAAACACCAATGCTCAAAGACTTTTTTTTTATCACAAGCAATTTAATAGAGAAAGAGTTAAAAGAAACTGACTTTGCTACTCACCAAAAGGGAACATCTTCTGTATTATATGCAAATTGTTTTCAACAACAATGGAAACTTCTTCACTAGCAACAACTGGTTACGCTGACTGGAAACATGCTGCAATGGAATTTAGTCAGCATGAAAAAACCTTGCTGCATCACCATATTTGTTATTCTTAACACCAAAAGTGGACAAATCTGCAAGACTTTAAAAGAGCAGATGGAGTTAGAGAAAAAATACTAGCACCAAGTTCTAGAGCATATTCTCTCAGTCATAAAGATTCTATGATCCAGAGAATTAGTATTCAGAAGAAGCTGTAAAGTAGTTGGTTCAGTGCATAATGGCAAATACTTAGGAATACTGGAGCTATTGGCTGAGTAGAATACATTTATTGCTGAACATATTCAAAAATGTGCAGATATGGAGAAAAAGTCATGTCTAGTACTTATCCTCAGCAGTTTGTGAAGTATTCATGTAAATCCTACACAAAGAAGTTCTCACTGCCATTATCCAGAAAATCAAAGCATCCAAGTATTACTCAGTATCTGTTGATTCTACACCAGACATATTCCACACAGATAAACTGACAATGATGTTTAGATGCATTCTAGATGATGGCCCTGTAAAGAGATTTGCCTCATTCTTAAAATAATCAATCACATAGGAACAGAACTTGCTAGAGTTCTCATTAATTTCCTTGAAAAGAATGATATGATATAAGAATTAAAGATTGCCATGAGCAGTCTTACGACAATGCATTCAATATGAGCAGCAAATATGCTTGCATGCAAGCCTTAATCAATGAGAAGAATCCCCCCCTAACAGACTATGTTCCCTGCTGTGCTCATTCACTCAATTTGGTTGGGCAAAGCACTGCGGACTGGTGTACTGAAGTTTGTTTATTCTTTGCCTTTGAAGAAGTTTTTTTTTCTCAGCTCAACCCAACTGTGGAAGCACCTACATGATGTACTTGAAAAACTCGGGTTCCTGACTATAAAGAGGTTATTAGACACAAGGTAGATTGTCCATTCATATGCAATGCAAGCCTTAAAAATGGAGTACATAGCCATAACACAAGTCCTTGCTTCCATTAAAGGTGATGACTCTGAATAGCCTCATGTATGCTTAAATACAGGAAGCCTAATGTTACAAATGGAACAACTAGAAACAGGTATAGTGATAGAATTATGAAGCATTATTCTGTAGAAGTTTTACAAGACAAGTCATTCATTATAAAATTCTCAAATGGGTGTCAGTACGGCTTCTCATCTGCTAAAATCCCTTGACAAATTTATGCAGAAATTACAAGGTTCATTTCCGGAATATGAGGGAAAAAAGTAAACAACCATCAGTATGCAAGACATATAAGGTTGAAAGATCAAGGAAAAGAAATACACAGTGGGATGAAAAGGATGCTGAGGACAGTGACTTTGCACCATCTACTCAATATAAATTTCAGACTTTCTTAACAATAGTTGACAAAGTGTCACTTGTACTAAACAACATAATAGTGGTATATGAAAATGTCAGTTGGAAGTTTGGGTTTCTATGAAACTTAGAGCCCATGCATACAGATTACCTCCAAAAATGCCACCAAAAACCTCATCAATACCTATCTTATGGACTTTGACAGTTGCACAGAAGAAACTGTTAAATTTCCCACCCTCTGCCAAGCAGGGTGTGTTGAAAAACCATCAGAATCCAAGGAACAAAGTACGCTAACAATGATACGCAACCAATCTCTGTAATCAACTTTCCCAAATGTCCTGATAATCTTAAGGATGTACCTGTACCTCATGTCAAGTAGTTGCTTGGGAGAAAGATCATTCTCAATGCTAAAAAGGACAAAGAACACACTTCAATAATACTGTATCAAAACAAGCTAAATGCACAGGCACTTTTGTGCATAGAAAATGACTTGCTGGAATTGCTTGATGCCAATTAGATCATGAATGCCCTTGCTACAAAAAGAGTCAGGAAGACAGTAGTTTAACTAAGTACAGATGACATGATATGCTACTACTGTTAGGCACACTATGCGAGTACCGGTGTGATCTAAACATGTATATATGCATGTGAGCATTTATTTGTTTGTGTGTGCATGAGTTGTTGAGTTTATGTGTAGGTGATTTCTTTTTGTCTATATGCTTTGCTGTCCAAATGGAAATTGTCCCTGTTAGAATATCACTTTTCATATTCAAGAAACAACTAATATTGTTCATCAATTTGTAGATGAGTCTTGCAAATCTGTGCATATTATTTTCCCACTGTATCCAAAAATAAAACATATCTTGAAGTTTAGTTGTTGTTGTTTTTTGCCTTATCCTTTAGTTGCAAAAAGTAGTAGAAAAATTTAGCCCCAGGTCCATCCAACCCTTAATTCACCCTGCTGGTCAGGCTTCTAACCCAAGATTACTATCCTTATCTGCACTAGTCATTTACCAACAAAGATTCACAACTTTCATGAACTTGGAGAATATTTTGTAACCAAACCATTACAAGTAATATTCAAAAATAAATCACTGAAATATATCTTGTATCAACCCACACCTAAATGTCTAAGACACAATCAAGACAAGCAATGTTCTAATCACAAAATAAATATAACTTGAAACACATTAAAAAAAAGTCAGGTTTACCTTAGGAAAAGAAACAATAAGGTTTACTGCTTTATTTAACTGCAAAGTACTAATGTCTACTTCTTTAGTTCCAATGATTCCATCATAATACACATAGTTGTAGTCTTTCAGCATCACCTCTGTATACACACAAAGAATAAATAAAAGTGGTAAGCTCTACAAATTATGAACATTGACATGAAGTAAGAACTTAATAGCTTTAAACTATAGCTAAAGTGTTCACAATTACTTCCCAAGAATCAGTTATACCTGCTATTTAATAGATTTACTAATTAAGAAATATTTAATTAAATCATTTTATAAATGAGTATTTTCACCATAAGCTATGCATCAATATCTCAATTAATGTTGCTGTTTCTTGTTTTGTGAAAATAATAAAAACTGCTTTAGTTATAAGCCTCTGGTGTTGGTATTTTTCAACCTGAATGGCAGTTTATTTGACTCATCAATTAATCAACCTAGTCAGAGGCCCCCTAAGGTTCAAACTAGCCAACCATAATTTTAAACTGACAATCAGAGGAAGGGCAACCAGGCAACAAACACCTATTGAATATTCTGACACTCTTATTTGAAGAACAGGACTATCTATCATAGTTCATGTGCCCCTGTGATTGAAAGTGCAAAGAATTTTCAGCGGCATTTTGTGGCTTAAAACTCGGACTTTCAGATTCACAGCTCAGAAGCTTACCATAAAGCCACATCCACTAGGCCCAAGTATAAACCTACTACTCGTAAAGTTAACAATTAGATAGTTAATAAGCATTTATTATCATGTCTTCTCTACATTTTGGACACACAAAATAATGTCCCTACGCAACCCCATCCTAGAAGAATGGCTTAGGCTACATATAATTTATTCATCGCCTCATAATTCTTAATAATGGGGTGGATACTTTTCATAATTTTGTTATTAATATTTGAGTATTCACAAAAATTCAACACAGTCTAACACTTTGTATCATCCTATGCAGTTTCTTCAATATTTTATTGATACAATTTTCCAAGTGTCTTTCTGGAAGGAAAAAGTATAGGTTAAATGCATTAAACATCACCAATTTTCATTATACACATGATAAACAAAATTATTTGTAACGATTTTATATGCAAAACCATTTACTATTATACATTTTTTTCTCCATATTGGCTTAATTAAGTTATAAACTGTTCTAAAATTCTAACACTGTCACAACTTTTACTTACATTCATTATAAGATCAGAAAAACTATTTTTCTCTACTATAATATATGAAACACACTGGGACTTGCATCCCATTGCTGCCAAAAACAAGAAATAATTCTCCATATTTTGGAGTCATGGTTGCATTATAAGAGTGATGGTAAAAATCCCATTTTTCAGTGCATTTGTTTGTATGTTTGTTGAATTTCCAACAAAGCTACTCAAGGGCTATCTGTGCTAATACTCCCTAATTTTGAAGTGACAGCCTTATTATATATATTAACATACGTTTTTTTGTGGAAGCAAATATTCTGTGTTTAAATTGACATTTTCAACTGTTTTTGATATTAAAACAATAAGCACATAATGGTATCAACTAGTTTAGAAAGCAATTTTGAAATAACTGAAAAAAAATCATGAACTGTATCAGTAGCAAGCATAGCATGTCATGGGCTCCATAGGCAAAAATTAATTTTGGGCTTTATTTATTGCTTTTATTGACATTTAATTTTTGACCATTGAATTAACCTATTGCCTTACCTTGTTGTCAAATCTGGATGAAAAGTTGTTCCTTATCAAATTGGGTGTACATAAACCATCATTTTAAGCATACTGTCTTATAATCATACATAAAATAAACTATTTTGTATCATTTATTATGAGTTGTTCATTATTTTCAAAAATAGTATGAATGAGTCAACATTTTAAGGAACAATTAGTAAGATAACAGGTTAATTTAGAATTGTGGCTGTAGTTTCTGTGGTTTAAGCAATTTGTACATACTGTACTCACTAAATTGTGTGTGTGTGCACGCGCATGCATATTCAGGCCATGTGATGATTCAAGGAGGCCTGGGCCCCTTAGCAGTGCTACGACAGTTACAGTACTATTGCACCATAAAATTGTATGTTCTTTTATATATGAGATAAAATGCTTTTTTTACTCTTGATTTAAAGGATTAGCAATACTTTCAGTAACATTTTGAAAATATTTTCTATTTCATGAAGATTTCACCTTTAGCTATGCTGAGCTTAACCCCAGTTAATACTAGGCTTGTTACATCATAAGAGTAACAGCTTGAAACCATTGATAGAGCTTTTAGAAAAAAAAAAATAGGCTAACAATTAGAGATGCTAATAACTTAAAAAATATGAAATTTAACATCGAATAAGCAGGAAAAAATTTCTACACATAAATTCTAGAGACCACCCACATCCTTTTTTTTGCTGGAACATTATATTCCAAATAGCCCAAACTTATCTAATAAAAAACACATTATAAGGTGACTAAAAAGCTTTTCTTTAATGATTCAAATAATATTACAGTCCTGTCTCATTTACTACTTTTAGATTTAACATTATAGTGTATGCCACTCAATTTATCATACAAATTTCACTACATACCCAAAATTCGATCTTTCTCTGGATCCACAACAAAAGTGAAAGATTCATCCCAAGATGGGTTAACTGTGTTTAGTTTCCATCTGGTTTGTTTCTTTCCATTTGGAGTATGTGGAACACGAAGAACAACATAGGGATCTGGTGTATCAACTGCAGCAGAAAAAACATATACATTAATAAAACAATTATGTCGAAATAAACTAATCATCTCAAACACAAAATCAAATTTGGAATTTTTAACCCGGACAACACCTTATGCGCATGTATGCTAAATGATCACGTCAGAGATTCTTAAGGTTCAGGTACAGTTGCTACTAAGAGGGGAAGATAGCCAACTAGCAGCACCCACCACCATAGTCTTTTATACAGCTCTTTGAACCAAATAATCAGACTGATTGTCACTTTTATAAGAAGCTCATGGCTGAAAGTGTAGAGTATGCTCAAGGGATTTGTGTCTTGAACCCTGGACCCCTCAATCTGCAACTTCATATGCTAACCATTAAGCAACACCCAGCCAACCAAAATTAGAAAACAGAGTTTATGCAGACTGTGTCCAATATTGATTTTGTAGAAATCAATAGTCATATATTTATAGACAAAATAAAGATTTAATAAAAATGTCAAAATTTCAATAAAGCTTACCTGTATAAAAACTTGGCATGCACACACAGACACACACATATATATATTTTCTTTAGTTAGATGTAATTCATAAGAAAAAAAGTTATTAAAAGATTATAAAGACCTACCTGATTTTAGCTTAAGTTGTCACTAGTATTATAGCTAAAACAGTGAAACAAGTTCCACAATGCTGATTTTTTTTTTTAGTTTATGTAAAAAAACTAAAATATTGTGCTGAGTGAAAAGTTCAGAAAAATTAATGCTAAAAGTTCTCCATTTCAAGTGCTATATTTCAAATTCTCTTAAGTGCATAGTTAACACAGTCTCACATCAGCTGCAACACTGTCATTATTGCATACTCTATTCAAAAACACAAAAACTGCAAACTGTAGTTAAGTATACAAAACAGAATTGTTTACTTTCTGTACTTTGGAATAATTCTGGATGTTTCTGTGAACAACTTTCTTATATATTTATAAAAAATTTACATTTTCAAGATATATAATCCTGAACATACAGGGTGTCCCAAAAGTCTGGACCCATAAGGAAAAATACACAATGTATTCTTAATTAAAAACGTAATATTTGTGTATGAAAACTTTCCTCTGGTAACAAAACAGTGTATCGACTGGAAAAAGGTAATATGACAGATTTCCTTGCTTTTGTTTTGTTTAACTGCATGGTAGTTTGATTTATTAAAAAAGTACCGTACTAACAAAAGCTAGTTCATTAACCTCATCAGCTCAGTTGGTAGAGCACTTATCTGCCGTGAAAGAGGTCCTGTGTTTGAAACTGAACCAAGGAAATACATAAAAAGTATATTACTACAACTGAAAGATTCTAGAATAAGATTTAAATCCAACGTAACACACAAAATAGAAATTACAAGTAATGACAACAGAAGAAAGTAAGTAAAAGTGGTGAATGGTGAGCAAGTTTGGTATATATTCTAAACATCAAACAATTAAAAATGGATCAAGTATAACTGAATTCACTGAACAAATGTATTAGATAATATAAACAGGGTATTAGGTTAACCCACTAAACTAAGGAAGATAGTTTAACATCATATCTTTTAATAATAATAATTATTATTATTATTATCATAAAACAAAACACTGGCAGAAAAGTATTTTGCTCTAAAAACTAAAATATAATTAATAAACAGTCTGCTAAAGTTTGTAGTTAGGACAACAAGCAAAACCAGGTCAGTATATTCACAAGCAAAAGTAATATATTAATGTGAACACCAAATGAAAATCCCACTGAAATATTACTGTTGAAAGTGTATTCAGTCAACCTAAGGTCATATTCTCATTTTCATACAAAGTACATATCTGTACATACGGTAATCATGCAAGTTATTAAAGAGGAAACTATGTTGACACTCTTTGAAACTTTCAATGTTGTGGAAAATGATGGAAAAACTTTTAGACCACTTCAAATTCATATCAAATGTAGCAAAAATATTGTAAACATCATAATTATCTTATTGAAACAACACAGATACAACTGAGCTTGATGTAATTTAGGTAGAATGTACTTAATTTACTGTCCATTAAATTATTTCAAAGTAAAGAATCTGTGTTCACATACTGTCTATAACCTTGAGTTGAATATTATATCTAATAGACACTGACTTACCATAAGTACTGAATTAAAGAGAATGTTCAGTAACTAACAAGGTCTTCCTCTTTAAACTAAATAGCATCTAAAAGGACTTGTTAGACAGCTGATATTATTTCTATAAATTAACATCCTGGCTTGGTGCTAACACTAAAGAAATTAACATCACCTTGAACTATACATTATATGTATATTGATTAATGTTACAGAGGATAATGCAATTTATATCCACCACCACTTACAAACAACAAAAAAGAAAAACTTTCAAAAAGTCATCTGGTTTTTATCAAGGAAGATGACCTTATTACTGAATGATATCAGGATATAATTATTTAGTTAAAGTAATAAGCTATTAGCCAATACTTCAATGTACTGGTTAAAATTTTATAACCTACTTTCATGTATCAAGTATCAGTTTTTTTTGTTACTGACTCATCAGAAATATTCTGTTCTCCATTATATGAAGTATGTTATATGCAAACATTTTCATACTATTAAAAATTATGACCAAACACTTCTAAAGATTGTGGTATATCTCACAACATACCAATAACACAAGTACTTCAATTTGTTAGTTTCCAATATTATGTTAAACAAAATTAGTATATATTTTGAATTCCTTTTACTGTATATTAACTGAGTAAACAGATTCATGATCCATCATCTCATTATTTAGATTCATCTTTTTAAGTTGAAAAAATACATACATTAAAAAAATATGCCCAATAAGCTAACAACAAAGTTGTACATCTTTGGGACAACTAACTGAAGCACTAAAACAAACAAATTTGTATAACTTTTAATGTGTACTTACTAAGGTCACCAAGCATTCCTTTAGTAATATCAACACCTTCTATAACTTTAACATGAAGAATAAAGACACTTGTTGGAGACACCTGTGAAAATATACACGTCAAGATTCATTAAAAAACCAGTTTCCTAAAATATTAAAGTCAATGCAAATGAACTAATACCGGTGGAAAAAAAAATCAATACTTTACTGTAACACATAAACATACAAGGAAACACAAGTGATATAATTTATTTTAATATCTTAGTTAGAAGCTACTAAAGCCAAGATACGGGCTTATTTTAGATCAAATTACTTCCCCCTTTATGTGACTAAATAATGAAATGAAAAAGGGATGTGGTAGAATTTATATGCTGCATGTATTAATATTTTTCAAAACACTGTAAAAACAGAATTTATGAATAAAGAGTAACTTTAAATTCATACAGAATTTTAATGATTTCAATGGGCCTATATGTCTTCTCTCATGAACTAATTTCTTATGTTCTCATACATTAACTATTTTCAAACCATTATTCAGTGGCCATTTAAGAATGGAAATTCATGGGAAACAAGAAATATGCAAAGAATCTGCACACCTTACTTTGAACAATCACTTAATGTTCTCATCAACTTGAATATAAGTATAAGCAACCAATTATGAGAGCCCCCAAAACCCTTGATCCCCTATTATTGGGTACTGTTATGAAATTTCTAAAAAATCTAAATGTAGATACTCATTTAAACAATCCTCTACGTGTTCCTGCAAATATTCATGTAAATTGGTAAATTCAGTCCTGAGAAACTCTAAAATGTCTTTTACCTCCAAAACAGAGCTGAAATTTGCCATTTTCAAAACCTAGATTTAAATTATGTTTTTGAACAACTACTTACATGTGAATATCAAGTTGCAAGTAAATTGGTTCAGTCAAACTTCAAGAAATTTTCGGAGTCCAGAGATTAAATAAACATAAATTTGTAAATGTGAATAGCTTCGTAATCAAACATGTTATTGATTTTACTGTCTGTGGGTAAAATCTGATCATGTGAATGAAGTTACCAAATGCAATATTAAATTTGTATGTTGCTAAAATTTTGCACATGTTTGGTTACAATATGCATTACATCTCAAAAACTACTTCTTTTTCTGTTTATGTAACTACATGAATATAGGGTATATGCACCTGAGAATATCATAACTCTTTTGAACAATTATTTCAGCATTTGAAGATATAAACTGAAAATTTCATGCTTAAATATATATATGCTTGAAAAATATTCAACTATAAAAATAACATATATAACACACAATAAATAAAACTTACCATAAATACCTCATATGGATTAAACCTACAGAACAAATAAAGCATGAAAACAATATATTAGAATATATAATTTATATTGTGAACACAGAGAAATCTGACACACTGGTTTTATCAAAAACTTAAGACTTTTCCAGTTATTGCTCACTTTCTTTTACAAATATTTTTTCAATACATATATTTCATATCTTTTTCACTTCAGTATTCATCACTTCTTTAGATACAATCTTTTTGGCATTTTAAAGGTTTTTATAAAGCAAGTATTTTAAGATAATTTCATTTAATATTAAAATCTAACTAAAACAATCAGTCTACCATTACAAATAACTATATCATACAATAACAATTCTTTTAGTTTTGCCAAACATGATATTAGAAAGATTATATTTATCGAAAGTCTGATCAGCTAAATAAAATTTACACCACCAATATTAAGGAATGTATTACAAACAGCACTTCCAAATCTGTCATGATTGAAAATTATTTGGTATTATAAGCATCCTTCCTTTAAACAAAAATAAAAAACATTGCAAAAATTGCAAAACATATTAACATCAAATTACAGGTTACAACGTGGAATTTATAAAGTGTATCTTGGTTTCTGAAATCAATATGGAGAGGTGGTGGTAAAAAAAAACTCTCTTGAAGTTAGTGCACTTAAACATTAGTTAAGCAGCCCACAGATATGTCTGAAACCAAAACACAACTTATAATTTTGCACAGTGTAACTCACCCATACTTTGGTATTACTATGTCTATCCTGCAGGGAGATAGATAACTTGTATTTCCTACGTTTCTTTCTTCTTTCTAAAATTGACAATTGTTTGCCGATCGTTTTGAAACTTAAAAGGCATTTACCTTGGTCTACTATGCCCAGACAACATTTTCATTTTTTGATTGAAGTCCTCATTCCAATTTTATGTGGTAAAAAGGTCAAACAATACAAAAAGAAGCATACTCTGCCTTGCATCAATATGTCGATTTTTTTAGTAATCATCCCAAACATATAAAATTAAATGTTCCTGTGAATCTTGCAAGTAGATTATATTATTCGGTTTCCAATGAAGAAACGAGAGGTAATAGATTACCAGAACTAAAAAATTTTTAGTTCATTGTTACTATCCATAGAAAAGATATATTAAGAGTTTTTGAAATTGTGAAGAATAACCTTTTTGTTTTATAGAAAACATTTAAACAGAAATTAGTGAACCTAAAGAGAATATTATTATACCTTTAGTGGTGACTCATTGTCCAAATATACATACTGATATTTCATTAAACAAAACAAAACAAAACAATTTTTGTAGATTATTGAATAAACCTAAAAAGAGATTTTACTAAAGTTTTTCCGTTGATAGAAAGAGCTGTGCTTTGTGTAATTTAGGTCATACCCAATCTACCAAGCCAATAAAGAATAATAACAAAGAAATTATTTTTATTAATAACTCATTTAATTGTAATTCTAGGAATATAATATATATCTTTTAAAATGTGTAAATTGTGGTGACTTATATACTGGTGAAACAGATAATTTAAGATTAAGGATAAATTTATATAAATTCCATGTTAGATATTCCGAAAAAAAAGCTCACTATATGCCAGCAAACATTTAAGGAATGCATCTTGGGAAAATTTAAAATTCTAAAAGAAACATATTTTCATATTTTCCCTTTCAGAGAATGTAATGTAAATCACAAAAAATTATTTTTCCAAAATTATTTTATAAATTTGTTTGGCACCACTTTAAATAGATAGTAACAAAACAATGTTTTGGGGCAACATGGAACCTATTGGTCCATCTCGGCTGTTTCATCCTCTAAACTAAATTAATTTTTTTTTTTAAATCTTAAAGCCAGCCCTTATCATTCATATACTTATCAAGCTTTTTCTTAAACTCACTTAAATTTACTGCCTCTACAACATCTGAAGGCAACTAATTCCAAACGCCAACCACCCTGTTAGAAAAATTAAACTGTTTTAACTTAAGATGGCTCCTATTTTCCCAAAATTTATATTTGTGTCCCTTTGTCCTACTATTCTCACTGTTAAATATGATAAAAGATGATGCATCAACATTATAAATTCCCTTTAAAATCTTAAACACCTCAATCAGATCCCCCCTAACTCTTCTTTTTTTCAAGAGAAAAGAATTTGAGACATTTCAGCCTCTCATCATATGACAACCCCTCCATTTCAGGCACCATTTTAGTAACCCTTCTCTGAACCCCTTCCAACAATTCAATGTCTTACCTAAGGTGAGGAGCCCAAAACTGAACACAATGTTCCAAATGTGGCCTAACCAGCGACCTGTACAATGAAATTATAACCTCTTTAGACTTGTATTCAATATTTCTGTAGATACAACCTAAAATCCTACTTGCCCTACCACTAGCAATGGCGCACTGCTTGAATGGCTTTAGAGACTGATTGACTATTACACCAAGATCCCTTTCCTTCATAACACTGTTAAGGTTATTCCCATCCAAATTAAATTTAAATCATGATAACCCACATGCATTATCTTGCATTTATTATAATTAAAACCCATCTGCTGATCAGTGTCTCCAAATAAC